TTGATAAATAGTAGTTGAACTTTACCTTGGGACAGTTTGTTGGTTATTCTTGAATGCCCGGTTGGTTATTTTATAATGCTCATTTGGCTATTTTTAAATGTTTTCTACCTCTCTTGAGCATTCCTTCACTTGAGTGTCTTAAATGTTTTTGGAACAAATCACACCCATACTTAAATAGGATTAATTGAAAGAGGAAATGAAATACTTCGATGGTCTCACAATTAATTTGCTACTCGATCATTTTCAACACTTCTTATGCTCAGTCGTCTGAAAAGTTTTTTCATCTTGATCAATTTCATAAATGTCAGGCAATAAATTCAAAATGACTAAATTGTCATCCTACATAAGGAGTCAAGGTAAATTCATATATTTGATTCGTTCAATTTAGATATTTGATTCAATCAAGCTCTATATTCAAATCTTTTATTCATTCAATTTAGGTGTTGTTCTGTTAGTATTCATTATCAACCTGTAATTTCATCTTCATTTGATTTTGAAGATGGATTTTATTTTGGTATTTTTGGTTAAGTAATTTTCTGGTTCTAGCTGCTTTTGAGAGCAAAAATATTGTGCTCCGGTCTAGGTCGGTTTCTTAAGTTCAGCTGACTTCGAAGGTGCAATCTTTCTCCACAAACTTCTGTATTCTGCTACCGCTAATTGTTGTTTGACTTGGTGTATAACATTGTTGGAAAGAGAATTAGGTTTAGTGTTATTGTGTTACTATTAGAAGATGCATAATATGATTTTGGTCAAAAGCCTACCAAGGTCTAAAAAACCCTACCCCCCCCCCCCCACCACCACCAAGGTCCGAATTTTGAGCCAAAAGCCCCAAGAAAAACCCAAATTCTTGCTCTCCCCATCAATTTCTACATCTCCACACCTTCAAAAACACCCAATTCTCAAAGGTCCAAATTTCTCTAGCCCTTCAACTCCCAAGTCCGAAAATCCACTACAAAGCTCAAGCTAAGGGAAAACATGCCTCCAAAAAGGGCTAGAGGCTCTTCCTTCTCCTCCAGTGCTCCAATTCCACAAGTTCCGGGCTATGAAGACCTTGAATTCACCTCTACAATTCACCACAAAAAGTTCCTCCAACAACTCGACCGAATGGTATATCCACCTCGTTTTCTATGCCATGTTACATTGAAAGCATTGTTGTTGTTTGATATGCTGTTTGAGATGTGCAACGACATAGGTTTAACAACATTTTTCAACATGTCATACAATATTCGGAAGAAATTGGTGTATGAATTCTTAGGTTCTGTGGAATTTTTTGAAAATAAGGAAGACACATATGAGGATAGACTCACGTTTTGGTACAACAATACACCAAGAACGTTGACCAAACGTGAGTTTGCCGAATTATTTGGCTTACCAATTTTAGGAGTGGAGGAGAGAAAATCTAGGAGAGATAGCACTATTGTCCATGATTTATGGCGTAGAATGACAGGGGTTAGGGAGGTTAAGTCATCACATATGCATGTTACACACGTCCAACACCCTGCCCTTCGCATTATGCTTAAATGGTTTGGAAATCATGTTTTCGGAAGACCCAATAGCCATCAAACTAGGATCAGTGAGTTGGCTATTAAATGCTATGAAGATTAGATGATGCTTCATATCTTTGGGCTCATCTAAAAAAGGAATGTGAATCGGGGGGTGAGATCTTCATTAGGGGGTACATACACCATATTTGTACCAAATTTGCCTATCATGATAACAGAGAAACACGAGAGGATTTCTTCCTCAACCTCAAGTTCCTTCTCAAAGCACATGATCTAAGCTCTTCACACACTATTGGTGACAAAAGATTCTTCAATTGGGCCATTTTTCCGACCCCACCCCATGTTTTTACAATCCCCTCTGACGGTCTCCTCAACATTTTTAACCATCAACTCGGGGATAGGAGACACCTTTGCTTACCCGGAACCACCCCTGACCACTATCTTGATGAAATCCCACAACTCGAGCCTCCACCCAGTCCCGAACAACCACAAGAACAACCACAAACCGGTCCCAAAACTCCTCAATACACTCCCTTTGAGCAACAAATGCTAGACGGTATACAACAACTCAGTCTCAACCAAACGGCTATGAACACACACATCGATGATCTCTATAGCGTGTACCAAAGGGTGGAGGAAGATCAAAAAAGGGCATTTGGCCCTATGTTAGCATACTTTGACCACCAAGGGTATTTCTCCCACATGCACACTCCAGTCCAACATCTTACATCGTATGACCCCTCATATTGGGGTAATTTTGGAGGATCTAGCTCCGAAGGAGATGGACAGGGTGGTGGTGATGGAGCTAGCAAGGATTTCGGAGGCGGGGATGGCGATTATGACGGCAGCTCAAACATTAACGAGGATGAGTACCCATATACAGGCGGTTTTCATGACAGCTACTATGGTCAAGGTGGATTCTTTGATGGAGGAGATGTGGGCGGGCACTAGAGACAGTGCCATGGACTAGCTGGGGGCGACTACTCTGGTATGCTCACATTTTACACTCTTTATCCCTTCTTTTAAAAAAAAGCTTGTTAGGTTGAAAACCCAAAAAGGACAACTTAAGCAAAATAAAAGCAAAAAGAAGAGTGAGTTTGTGAGGATAAAAATAAAAACATGTGGGAAGCTGGGATGAAAACCCGAAAGGGCACCTAGGCAAAATGAGAGAATGAGAGAAAGTATTTCTTTTATCTTTGCAAGATCATAAGGGTATATACTTGAGGAGCAAAAGAAGAGAAATCCAATGGTGTTGAAGGCCTTTTATTCACGTGTTTTGATTATTCAAACAGTTTTATGTTGATTATCAAAAACACTTGTGGATGGTTGTGTTTTGCTTTTATTGTGTTGAAAACTTCATGGACATGATTTGTTTTACTCGAGACGAGTAAAGGTTCTAGTGTGGGGGTGTTTGATAGGCACTATTTGTTAGTATCTAAGTGTACATTTTTATTATTGTTTGTAATGTTTATTTACTACTATTGTGCAAGTTTGTAGTTGTTAGTTTACATTTGATTGGAATTGTATCTCTAGCATTTTATTGTTTGTTCTAAGTTGTAGTTAGTTAGGATATAAGTTTAGGATAAGTTTGGAAGCAAAAAGGATGAAGAAACCTGAGTTTTATGCAAAACCCGGTCGGGTATGGCCTTTACCCGGTCGGGTATGATGAGAAAGAAGAAACTGCCACGAAACTAGCAAATACCCGGTCGGGTATGAAGTGATTTTGGACCAAAGGACGTGCAGAAAACACAAAGACATGGGAAAATATTTGATTTGGCAAATACCCGGTCGGGTATGTCAAATACCCGGTCGGGTATCCGGCCAAAGGTGTTGAAAAACACCTATAAATAGCACTATTTTCCTTCACAAAAATTCATTCTTTCTTCCATACTCTTAAGCTCAGTTTAGAATAACATTTCTTTATATTTTTATAGTTATGTTTAGTCTCCAAATGAGGAGCTAAACTTCCATTTCTTGGTTTTGCTCTTGAAGCTTGTTGATTATTAAAGTTATGAGTTATGTTCTTAACTTCTCTCCTTGAATATTAATTCTTCCCTTAATCTATCTCTATATTAATTTTTGGGAGTGTTGATAAGATGACAATTAGTTAACATCTCAATATTATCTATTACTAGAAACGATCAACGAACCGATGGTTAATCGTTGATGGTTTCACAAGTAAGTAACTTCGGTTTATTAATGCACACTCGTGGTTAATAAACTTACACTACTACAAAAGGGAGATATCACGTCGCACATATAACGTCGGTTATTAAAAACCGTCGTTAAAAAGTCTGTCACGTCGGTTATCTCTCCAGACCGACGAGAAAGGGGTAAAAGACACGCCATTTTTAAATATATAACGACGGTTCCATCAGAACTGACGTGATAGGTGTTTTTTTTAAATCGTTAGTGCTGCGGGTATTTTAATTTTTTAGTGTTCAAGGACGGTTAATGTGGAACCGACGTTATAAGTGTTTTTTAAAATATCACGCTCTCAGCAAAGGGGGCAGAAATTAAAACCTACGACCGCCCTAATTCATTCTCCAGTGCGCCTCTCTCTCTCCGAACGAAGAGGACATCCAATCCAGTGCGCCTCTCTCTCTGCGAACGAAGAGGACATCCAATCCAGCGCGCCTCTCTCCCTGCGAACGAAGACGACATCCAATCGCCTACAGTCGAAGAAGATGATAGCCGGTTCCCGTTGCTTAGTTTTTCTCGGCCGATAGCAGGTTTCAATCATCGACTTGATTATTGTTTCTCTAGTGCATCAACTTCGATTTGTATTAATATCTAACGTCAACCCTAAATATCAATCCGTCTTTGTCTCTCAGTTTTCTTGGACCTGCGGCGATTCCGGTTTTGGAAGAAGTCTCCCCCAACAGGTTTCTTCTTTTACTCACCCTAAATCTCAATCCTTCTTTTTTTTTCTCAAATTAGAATTTGTTATTAGTATTAGACTTGTTTTCAGTTCGTCAAATGCATCTATTCTGCTCAGCCTTTTTTGTTTTGTTTTGTGGTTATGCTCAACCTTTTTTCTCAAATTAGAATTTGTTATTAGTATTAGATCTGTTTTCAGTCCGTCAAGTGTAATATAATAAGAACAATTGAATTTGGCGGGTATCGGGGAGGAAAGCCCCCACTCAGTTGCTCTAAAATTTTCCTTCTACTTCCATACATTTTGAGAAATGCATCTTGGAAGGAATTTCTGCAGTTTCCTCCATCCAAAATGTCGCACATAGACCAAAAGGTGAGTGCATTGTTCCTTCCTGCAAGCCCACCATCCACAGTTAAGTGTGCCCAAAAATATATAACATCTCCTTTAGTGTTTTCATGTATTGTTTCTTCCAAAGCCTATTCTGCCCTTTTAGTTAAAGAGACCTGCCTCCCAGTGGCTCGCCATGACTGAAATATATCCATCAGTAGTGTTTCCAGATAGAAACATGAATTTTAGTTTATCACTCATATTGTTCAATCCTGTGTACTTTATTAGCAAAGGTTCCATCTCTCGCATTGGTAAAACATAATCCCATGATAGCTTATTGTAGAGGAATGAACTTCCGACAACTAGAACAAGTTTGTCATCTTTATCAAAACCATATTCCTCCCTTAACTGGGATTTGGAATGGGTCCTACTGTAGCTTTCAGCAGCCCAAACATCTTTTGGTGATCCAGGGATGACAAAGAAGTTTCCTGTGTCAAGCACACTATATAGCATCGGCAATGAAAAATCTGGAAATACAACAACATCAGCCCTGTGAAAGGCAGCCCTCCAATGGAACATCAGATGCTCCCACCCCATACTCTCATAAATTTGAAGCCTATTTGCTAGTGTGTCTTCATGAACCATCCATATAAGTGGCACTGAGCAAAAGGGCTCCTGCATAAGGCTTGAAATGGCTCTTTTATCTTCAAGAGAGTCAGCAATGACACCATCAAAAAGTGACCAGTCAATATAGATGAATCTTTCAGCACTTAAAACTGAAACATTTCCTATTATTTCCCACAATGACATTGCATTTCCATCTTCTAAAGCGTAAATCTTGATCAGATAACCCAGATCCTTTAAATTCTTCATTACTGTATATAGCATCAAGGATAGGGGGTTTTTCTTCAAATTCCCATACATAGTAAAATGACGAAAAAAAAAACTTCCTTCTACTTCTGTACAAGCTTTTTTTGGTTGGGTGCAGAGTGCTTCTTCACTATAAGTTGAAGGATATGCTAACAATAGTTTAATTTTCTGGCTGGTAGCTTCAAATAAGTATAAAATATTCTGCATCATATAGTTGTAATTATTTCTGTTTATTTCTGTTTATGTTTGTTATTTTGGAACCCTTTCTTCAGTACTAGAAAAAAGTAGGTTTATAGGTGCTTTTGTAAGGCTTATCTGGAGCCACCTATCAGCCAATGGAGATATGTATTTTATTGTTTTTAGCCATAAGTCTGTAGAGACCTTGCAGGCTTGCAACTAATTATGCTGATTACTAAATGTGTAAAACCAAACTAACTAGAGCTGAAAGTTTAAGGACAACACATTAGTTGAGAGAGATCATTCATCATGCTCCTCACTATCATCATCTTCTCTTTTGGACTGCTGTTATCTTGTGTAACTCAGTATTTCATTCTCAATGCCTGAGATCATCTCATTGATTTAGTTAATGAGTAAGACTTAAATGTTGAAGCATTTATGACATACTTGATCAAGGGGTTGTGTTGTTCGTAACCTTGTTGATTTTGTGAATCTTAATTAAGGGGTCGTGTTGTTTGAGATATTGCTACTTATGCGATTCAATCTTAATTAAGGGGTCATGTAGTTTGAGAGATTGCTGATTTATTGATTCTTAATTAAGGGAGTTGTGTTGTTTGTGAATTGTGATAGTGCTGATTTTGTGTGTTAAATGGTTTTTTTAATAGATATCTTCATCAACACTTTGACTTGAAAGCAAGTAACAAGTTTGGTCTCTTATGCCCAAACATGGTTCAACATAAGACAACTTATGAAGACAAATGTGAATACCTTGCTGGCGTTATTCTGAAAGGAGGTAAACAGTATTATCTTGCACCATATTATGAAAGGTAAGTCTCTTCATTTAAGCAAATGAAATGCACTTAATAGGCTGTTCTATAAGTATTTTTTATGGTTAAAAAAATATTACCGTTCATGAACTGTCATTCTTTTTTATGATTTGTTATGATGACATAGTTGCCATTGGACATTGTGTGTTATTTGTCCAAACACGCACGAGGCGTTTTGGTTTGATTCAATTGGTGGTCAACCGTCTAAGGATATAAAGCATATAGTGGCAGTGTAAGTTATTTGTTCTAGTTATTTTTCCCACTTTATTATTTACATATTTTAGTGTTGAATAATTTTGATGTTTCTTGAGATAGATTATTTTTCTAGTGTTGATTGTACAGGTATTCAAGATTTTTTGACACATCTCTATTACATATTGCAACTCATAATTTTCTCACGTGAGAAAAATATAAATCAAGAAAAAGTTTTTTCTTCTACTTTTCAACTTAACACATGCAATAATAATTCAAAGTTATAACCAATTTTTGAAGAGTTTATGTATCCTATAAATTATAGGTCATTCAAAGAAGCTGCAGTCAAAGGTAGAACTTCTACAAATCGGTACAAAACTACAAAATGGATTATTTGTCCGGTAAGTAGCTTATATATATGCTCATTAAACTTATTTCAATTACACCATAATTATCAATTAATGGTTTATCTCCTTCAAACAGTGTCCGATGCAAGTGGGAAATGTGGAAAGTGGTTATTACGTGTTAAGATTCATGTATGACATCATCTCTTCCAAGACAAATAAAGACTCCATGAGCAAGGTAATTTTATCATACATGAATGTAAATCTTCAAGGTAAATGAAATAAATTTGTAATTGATGTTTTAATTGTTTTTGTAGGTGTTTGGTCCTTATGATAAATACACAAAAGGAGATCTGGATGTTATAAGAGGGATGTGGTGTAAAGCGTTGTGCAAATGTAGTTTATGATGACAGTATGAGTCGTATGACACTTGCATAATTTGGTGTTTAGGATGATACTTTAAGAGTTTAGTTGCACTTGAACGTTTTGAATGATACATTAGACATTGGAATTCACTATATTATTATTTTTGTACAGTGATTTTGTCATGGTTTTGTTCACTCATATTTCAATATGTTGGTACTGGTGTTTGATTTCGATAAAACAGGTCATGATATTGTCATTTATTAAAAAAAAAATATCCACGATAGTATTTACATAATTGTAAACAATGAATTTCACGTCGGTTTTAAATGATAACCGTCGTTACAAATTTTTTTTAGAAATACATTGCACGTCGGATTTGTTCCAAAACCGTCGTTATAATTAAATTCCGTGTTTTTTAAAAATACATTGGACGTCGGTTTGTTTAACATAACCGTCGTTATAACTAATTCCAGTAATTTTTAAAAAAACATTGCACGTCGGTTTTCTTAAAAAACCGTCGTTGTAAATAAACTTTTCGGAAATATTAAAAACATTTAACGTCGGTTTTCGAACCGACGTGGTAGCTAAACACCTATAACGTCTCCTACTTACACGACACTACTAAAACCGACGTTAAAGGTTTAAACCAACCGACGTGAAAAGCCTCTTGTGTAGTAGTGTTAAGAGGGATTAATTTTGTTGGTTAAACCGAAACTGTTGTGTTGAGGTTATCAATCTCAATTGATTTCATCAAGGAGTTAGAAAGATTAAATGCTACTATTAAATTGGTATAAGGTGTTGTTCTATATTTGAATAATAGTAAGAGTTATTAATGAACGGTCGTTGTTAATAACTACCCTCGATGAATTGGATATACTCCTCGATTGAGTATTCGAAAGGGGATAAATTATAGATATAACAAGGATCGACTAAATATATCAACAAGTGGAAAGTAGCAAAGCCAAGTCCCTTTTATCTTTGAATTAAAACTCATATAAGTCGTTCATCGTAGTGTTTAATTAAATTAAATCACTCAATCCCAAAACCCCCCTTTTGTTTACTAGTTCATAAGAAGAGAATTATTCCTTTCTATGTGGATACGAACTCTACTACGCTATACTACGTATAAGTGTTAAATTTTGAATTTATTTTGACGCACTACGATAAAGCGCTCGTCACTAATTAATTTAGAATTAGTAAACCAAAAGTGTGTGATGGCATTTAGCCTATCCATTGCATTTAAAGAACATTTAAAGAATTCCGGCCTCACAACTATTGGATCTGGACAACGGCCTACACAGTTGAATTCCAAAAGATGAAGATTAAACCATGGATCAAGAATGTTCACATCGGCCAGCCCCCCTCGACCTGGTCATCCCGGTTAGGTCCTTAAACGAATAACTCTACTTTGTACTTAACAGACTAAACACAAGTAACTAGCTCATTAGCGGCCCAATATTGTAATTGGACCTCCCAAGTCCAAGACATGGGAGCCCGATTCACTTTTCTCCTATAAATACTCCCTTTGGGAGCCATGTAAAGGGTTGGAGGAAATTCATTAGATAAACCACTTCCGTCTTTAGCTCCCCTTTCACTCTAAGACTGTAGACTATCAACTATTAATGTTGAAATCATTGATGACAATACCTTTAGATTTTTCAAATAATTTTGAAGTATATTCTACAATGGTTAAATATGAATTATGACACTATTATCTACTACCTCCATCCAGCTAACATTGGGACAAGAGGAGGTGACACAATTATTAAGAAAAGTGGATTTATGTGATTGATATTGAATAGATAACGTAAGAATAAAGTAACAATGATTTAGAGACACACAAGTTTTACCATATTTGGTATGTGACAATCTTAGTGAGATTTTCCGAAAAGGTAAAGTGAGACAATTTTAGCGGAATGAAAGGAGCAAGATACTGTGTTACTTTTAATTTCAAGTTAAACTTTGAGAATAGAATTCAAGGTCGTAACGATTATCTCATTCACATAATATTTTGCATAAAATGAAGCGTGTGCACAAAAGGAAGAAGTTTAAAGAACAATAAAGTACTTTATGTTCATTGCTATAGTTTTTTCAAGTTTAAAGTACATGAGTATATAAACGGGGAAACACTATTTAGTCGATGCATCTCATGCGTTGCACGGGTGGACAAGCTCAACCAACCCATTCTGTTGTAGGATTGATATTTTTTGTGATATTGGGTTATGAAGGAAATAAGAAAAAATCATAAAGTAGATTGTTTACCATTAAGTCTTCAATAATTTGTAACGTGTGTGCATATTAAACTTTTAATATTTGTTACATAGTATTATTTATTTGCTACTCCCTCATTTTTGTGATAAATAATAATTTGATTATAAACACATTTATAATTTAACAAATATAATCTTTTCGTGTCACATCCCGTGCAACGTGTTAGAGATATTTTGTGATGTTAAATCATGTTTTAATGTATGTGTATTTGTGTTGTTATTAGATTAGTTAATAGACCGGGCCAATTTATTGTTAAAAGCCCAATCGTCACTATGCAAGCCCATTGTAAAAGGGCTCAACCTACAGAACTATAAACAGTTTGGAGGTTGAGTCTTTAAACCTAAGGCATCATACAGAATAAACTAGCTTTATACGCCGCTCTCTCACTAAGGAGGTAGAGCAGCGGCCGTTCATGACATGTGCTGAAATTCCACATCATTCTATCAATGAACCGGAGCTATTATTCTCATCTCTTCTGCTCTATTGTGTTATTTTATTGTTGAAATAGATTTTACATTTGGTATCAGAGACGAGGCGTGAAACAAGTTGGAGATTCTACGATTTTTGGATTGCCATTGACGAAGAAGAACAAATTCGTCGAAAAGCGCATAAGATGTTCAGCGCAAAATTCTACTCAAGAGCGAAGTTCTACTTAGCACATCGTGTTATTTACAGGAGCAAAATCATCTGTGCGCGGAATCAGTTTAGTGCATCACTCAGTGCGCGAATTTCAGCGGTGCGTGAAACTCATTGTGCGCGAAACACTTCATGCGCAAACCTTCATTGATGCGCTAACCGTATTTCATGCGCGAACTCCTCATTTAGCGCATCCGGCCTTAAACTTAGCGTTCTGAATTTAGCAGCGGAACAAGTGCGCGAACTGTGACTGCATGCGCGAAACACTTAGCACATTTACGATCATGCGCTAACCGTAGTAGTGCACGAAAGGAGCTACTGGTGTGCGAACCCAGAACCCGATGTGTGCGCGAACACGGGAACTAATGCGCGAAGCCGAAAAAAATTGTATTGAAGCTCATTTGGGATAGCCGTGAGAAAACAAAAAAAGGAAAAGAAGGGCAAAATTGTCTTTTGAGACCCACCAAATTTTTTGACTATCGTGTCTGCAGGTCGCCCGCGCAAGGAGGGTGCAATTTTTCAGTTTTGAACTACAAGCCAGAATCTCATGTGAACGAGAGCTCCCCTCTTCTCCTTCTCATTTTACTACTAGCGAAAGAGTGACTCACATATATAGGTTCAAAAAGACTCTTGGAGTTTAGGTGTGGGATAAGTTAACAAGTCTATTTTTTTAGCCCACTTCAAGTGCTAATTTTTGGCCCATTTTCGACTTTGAGATCCAATCTTTGAAACCGAAGGTCAACGCAAAGGTCAAAGCTTCCGAGAGTCAACCTTGAGATTTAAATACACACACACACACACACATATATATATATATATGTGTGTGTGTGTTAATTATTATTTTTTAAAGAAAAATTAATTAACACTAAGTTTAAAAAAAACTCTCAAGGTTAAAGACTATCATTTCTCAAGGTCAAAGCTACACTTCAAGGTCTGGATCTAAAAAAATCACAAGGTTAAAGACTATCATTTGTCTAAATTTACCGGGAAGCCCGTCGGTATTCCCGAGGGGTATTCGTTTCGGAATACCGTGGCCCTCGATCTAAAGACGAAAGCTGGAGTGGTCGACTACCACGTTACTCAACTATATGCTGGATCTAGACGACTGTGGTTGAACCAGGACCCGCTCACCTGCTGTCTCTCCCCCCGAAGGCTGCTTCGCTGTGCATGCCCTGTCGGTGGAAATAGGCCTTCGATTCCCTCTCCATCCGTTCGTGGTGGAGTACTTGAACTTCGTAAAGCTGGCCCTGCCAATTGACTCCCAACAACCACTCCTATATCACCGGTTTCCTATCCCTCTGCAGCTCCAGAGATGTGGAGCCCTCCCTGGACCTCTTCTTCCTCTGCTTCAACTTGTGCCGGGGCGGTCACGTAAATTGCCAAGGTTTCGCCGATCTCCAATAGGTCCCAGAATGGAGGCTGTTCTCAGAGGTTCCTTCATCCCACAAAGGATGGAGGGAATGTTTCTGCTACATTCATATGGCGGAGAATCCGTTTCCCCCACCCCTTTGAGACAATTTCCGGCGACATCCGAAAGTGGGGAGTGCCCCTCTCGAGAAGTCGGCGAAGAAGATATAAGCTAAGTCGAAGGGGTCCGAGGACGTGGTGACAATTGATGATGCCACCCTCCCGGATGATTTGTACAGCTTGGGCTTCCGGCGTTACCGTTTATTTGGGGAGAATTTTGAGAAGTACCCCATGATTGATCGTGGCTTTGAGAGGGCAGGAGATGGTTTCCGAAAGCTCTTGATTCGTGTACTAAGGAATTTTTTCATAATTTCATTCTTGTTGTTGCCTTTATCCCCTCAGTCTCATTATTTGTGTTGTCTTGCAAGTGCTAACATGGATGTGAATTCCTTCGCGACGTTGAATAAGCAAAGGGGCAAGGCCCAGGGAAAGAAGACGAAGGAGCCGACGGTCTAGAAGCCAGTGGATTCCTTCTTCATGAAGGATGGGGAGGAGCCCTCCCAAGCTGCTGCTGCTGGTGGTGTAGACGGGGGATCTCATGTCGAGGCGGCCCAGAAGAAGAAGGTCGGGAAGGGTATTGAGCCCTCGGCCAAGAAACAAAAGGTTGTTGACTCCAGTAAGCAACCTGCCTCTGATTATGTGGTCATCATGGATGAGGGGCATGCCTCAGTCCCCACGCCTCAGGAGTTTCTCAACGAAGACTTCTTTGGCCGGGAGAAGCTAGAGGTGGTCGTGTCGAAGGGCAACTCTGTCCTGGATGCCACTCTCTGCCCCTCGGTGTTCATGAGCCAGGTGATGCCCTCGTGAGACAGGGTGGCCCTCGCCCGGATGGACGATGATGCCCTCAACTCCAATATTCTCCTGG